AAAATATTACTAATAAACAAACTAGTTATATTATCAACAAAGTAATTATTTTAATTCTAGAATATAGAATACAAAATATTATTATTTCTTTAACAATATATTAAAATATTCTTTCCTTTTTTTTTTTTTACTTAGACAATCTTGTCTTTCATTTTATTAGGAGAATCATTAGATAAGATAATACAGACAATATAAAATACTACATCTTGATATAATACTTTACTACTCTTCTTGTTGCAATTTAGAACTAACTCAGCTATTCAGATAGTGCTCAAGTTCAATCTGCTGCAAAAGTATTTTATCTTCTATTAATAACATTTTATCTAGTAGAAGAGATTATTAATAATCAAAAAAAAGCAATTTCTAGTCTATATCAAGATCCTAAATCTCTCTTAATCTAATCTAAGAATAAACTAAAAGTTGTTAATATCTAGTCTCAAGATAGAAAAAAATAAAAAATTATTACAAATAATAAAAAATGAAAAAGCTATATACTATAAGAACTTAAGCAAAAATAGCAAAAAAAACTTGCTGCTAAGTAAAAAGCTTGTTATCTGAATGTAGACAAAAAAGAACAAAAATAAAAACAAAATGAATAGAAATTTTTTTTTTGATATAAAAAGAAAAACCTAAAGTAATTCTACCTAAAAGTAAGCACTACCTTTAAAAATATATATATACTATTACTACTCATGTATATATCTTTTTAGTATCAACTATTTCTATCAAGTCTATTTTATTACTTATTCAACAGGGCATAGCTTCACATAATCCTCTAATGAAGATGTTAACAGATGTTAACTTGTAGTATGTAACTATATATGTTTGTGAGTTGTTATTATTTAGTAGCATACAATATGACTTTTCTAAAATAGATATAGTATGAATATAGATCTTTTGGCAAGAGTATACCAAATCTCTACTTTCTGCTATCAAGAAACAAAAGGAAACAATTTCAAGTCCAAAAGTCTAGTTGTTGTAAATAAAAAAAGTAGTTTTTCAAAAAAACAAAACTAAGAGAGTGATTATATACTTAACCTAGTACAAGTATAGTTAGAATCCTTCTTATATTTCTTCATTTCACTATCAATACTTTTTTACTAAACTAACTTAAAATTACCCTATCAAAATTAGATAGCCAAAGGGTCTAGTACAACCTTGAAACTGACTTATTACAGTTCTTGCTTCTGGCTTATTGCAGCTTTATAGTTTATTTCTCATATAGTCAGTTACTTTAAGTAGTTTTTCTAAGTAATAGCATAAAAAAAAAAGTTTTTATCATTTTGTTGTTTTGGTTTTGATGATTATTGAAAAGAGTTGTTGATTAAAATATTCTTTCAAAATATATTACTATTGCTAAATACAAAATAAACCATTCTAAAATACTTCCAAATAATACTATGCTTAACTATAATATTTATAGTATCAAAAATATTTGAGATATTTAACTACAATATCATAATTTCTGAAGAAATTTAAAATTACTAAACTAAAAAATTAGAAAATTTTATAAGGTAAATTAATCTAAATACAAAATATAGAACAAATATAATATACTAAAGTTAATCAGAAAAATATCTAAAGAATATAACAAGGAAATCTTAGCTGAGAGTAGTAAGTCAGTAATAGGCTTTGAAGATTATATAGATAAGTTAGTAGCAAGAATAATAGGTGTAGAGAGTGATATTGTAATAGCAACAAGAGAATAGAAAAAGTAATTAGAAGAGTAGCAATACATAAAGGAATAGAAAAAGTAGAAAAGATTTCCAAATATAAAGATTTAGACCTAACATGCAAGAATAATAAAATAAAGACAGATGTAAGAGAGATAAACACAGAAAATTCAATCTCTCTAGAAGTACTAAGCATAGAGTTAAAAGAAGTAGAAATGATTACAGAAGAGTTACAAGAAATAATAAAGATCATATCTCAAAATAACTTAAAAAATATGTAAGGAATTAGGTTTATACAAAAAGAAGTAGCAGAAGTAGCAAAATCTTTAGACAAAAGTATCTAGATACTAATAGAAAAGAGATGTGAAAACAAATTAGATATCAAAGCAAAAGTGTTAGTAGCAAATATATTAGGAAATAGTGCAGAACATCAAGCAAAATCTTTAAAATGAATATTAAAAGAAAATTCATATATAAAAAGAATATTTGAAGAATTCTCTAAAGGCAATCAATGGTGTATACTAATATTTGATTGTGAGAAAGGCTTTGAAGATGCATAACACAAACTAGCAAACAGAAAAGAGAAACATGAGCAGTTTAGATTAGTTAGAAATGAGAGTTTAGTAGAAAAAAAAAATAATAGAGAATTAGAGTTAAACAGTCTAAATATTAAACAGAAAAAAAAAAATAATAAATTTAAATATAAAGTCAGAGAAACAAGTATAGAAGATATTGAAAAAGTGTGAATTGAAAAAAAAAGAATTGAACATACTAAATATAAAAGAAAAGAGAAAAGAAACACAGAGGCAAAAATAGAACTAGAAGAAGTCTTTAAGTATAGAAATGAATGCAAAAGTAATAATATATACAGAAAAAGAAGAAAAGAAGTAATCAAGGTTAACTAAGAAGACAGAACCAAGAAACAAAAAACTAATACAAATAATATTACAGTATAGGACCTACTAAGTAAAACAAAAAGAACTCAGATTTTTGAAATAGTATAGCTTATAGGAAGAGTTAAACATATAGAGATGATAAAAGGTATACATGGGAGGACTAGAGCTATAATAGAATTCAAAGAGAATATATATAACAAAAGAGTCTTGGAGAAGATATGGAGTCTGCTATTTAATGATCACCTACTTGTAAGAATGATAACAGAAATTAATGAATATGAGTTACTCTATACAAGAAACAAGTTTAGTACAAGGTTATTAGATTTACTAGAAAATACTAACAAAATATTCCTATGATGATAAGTTAAGAGGTCAGATACAAAAGCTATACATATTTTTAAGAATACAAATGACAACAAGATAAGAAGTATAATAGTTTACTTTGAAAAGAAAGAGGATTTAGTAAGTAGCTCAAAGTTCACAATATACTATAATAATAACAAATTAAAATAGACAAAAGAAGAATTAGAAAATGCAGTATCTAAAGGTAAAAAAGAGTCTAGAATACAAGAAGCAATAATAGAATGAAGTGAGAAAAGCTTAGAAAAAAGAAGAGAGACAGAGATAGACCTGAAGATAGAATGTTCAAAGTATTCACAAAGCTGCAAGCAAATCAAATTTGATACTAATTCTAAATTAAAGAATATAAGAATAAAAGAAGTAGCAGAAGAGAAATAAGATTAAAAAGATCTAAATAATCATGAAATAAGTAATAGTGAAGAAGAAGCTAGAGAAGTAATAGCAAAACTAATATATTTAAACTCAAAAAGAAACAGAAGTAATATAAAGTCAGATTTGTATCTTCAAAACTAATAGAAGAATCAAAAAGCCTCTCTAATATATATAACTCAATAGTTACAAAGTTTAGAAGAAAAGATTACTAATATAGAAATGTAAAATGCAAATTACTCCTAATATTCATATTAGTTAAATTAAAGAAGCCTTTGTTTGAGCAAGAAGGAAAACTTGCATAACAATACAAAAAATATATAGTCAAAAAGCCAACTACAACAGACTTTAGTTTATTAAATATAGTTTCATATAATATTAATAGTCTCAAAGCTAATAGTTATAAGTTAGAGTTATTAGTAGAATGAGTAGTAAAAAATAATATAAATATTGTAAGAATTAATGAGACAAATATCTTAGAATAGCAAGGCAAATTTTTATATAACAAAAAAAGCAACTACGTAGAGTTTTAGACTGAAGCATACAAGAACAAAATTAAAAGTTTAAGAGTAGGTTTATTAATTAGTAAAATATGAAAAAAATATATAGGTCGAGTGACAAGATATAGAAGTTGTCTAAAGCTATATCTAATCATATAATCATATGATTGTCCACTAATCTGCAAAAGATCAAACTAAGTTAGATTTTCAAGTAATCTAATTTTATAAAAACTAAAATTTTTTAAAAATTTAATTGAAAGTATATTAATAACTATCTAAGCAAATGCAATAAATTTTTTTATTTTAATTCAAGAGATCTCTATAATTGAAATAAAAAAATATATTAAATTTGCTTTGTTGATTGTTAAGATATTTTTGCTCAAAGTTTTATAAAATTTAAAATGTCTATATATATATAATTATACTTGTGTAATAAATTTGAACAAAGATATCTCAACAACTATCTAAGCAAATTCAATTAACTTTTTTTTATTTTAATTCTAGAAATCTTTAAAGATCTCTAGAATTGAATTAAAAATATTTATTAAATTTGCAAAAATAAAAATAAGTATTAAAAAATTTATTCAAATAATAAAGAATTTTTAACAAATAGATCAGATTTTGTTTTTTTTTTGTAAAATTAAATACAATATAAATTCAAATTTAGAATTTATAGAGTTCATATATACATTAATAAAATTTTAATATTATATTAACAAAAGCTATAACATCTTGTAATTTTGTAATAAATATGTAAGAGAAATCTAGATTGATATAAATACAAGTTATCATTAATTAAAATTTTATATAATACTTAAAATTCTATTTATTTAATTTATATATTCTAGCTATATTTTTTTTCTAAACAAAAAATTATAAATGAATGCCTTGCTATTATTTTTTTAATTTTTTTTTAATATACTACAAAATATTATTTTAACAGATTTTCAATAATGAATAAATGCTCTATATTTATTTATTAGCTCTATTTTTTTGTTGATAATAATAGCCAAAATTATATATTCTAGCTACATATTCTATTTTGTAAATTTTCTATAATAAATAAATACCTTGTACTTGTCTTTTTTAACTCTAATTCTATTTATATATCATTATTAATACATAGTAAAAAAAAATTATATTCTTAAAAAATATATATACTCTTATACTTACATAATATAAAATAGGTTCTAAAGAAGATTTTAGATCTCTAACAAATGTATTCGTTTGTTCTTCATCACTCTTTTCTTCAATTCTCTAATATATATCTTGTATTCTTTCTATAAGTTTATTTACAGCAGATTTTTGATTGTTAGCTGCTTTCTCAGCTTCAGTTTTTTCAGATATATCCATTTCAACAATTTCACAATGAAAATAAACTTCAAAACCATATTCTTGAAACACTGCTAAAATCTTCTCCAAACACTAGTTGTTAATAATTTTGTAATACCATATATTTGTTCATGAAATATATGATGACAAGATAACAAATATCAGTAATAAAACAAACAAGAGTAGTTAAAAGATGTTAACTCAGATGCAACTTTGCCTTTTTTAATTCTTTTTTCTACAGCACAAGCCTCAGTAACAAGCATCTGTTGAATAAGAAAAGGAAATTTATATATTTTATCTATAATATTATAACTTATATCTACAAATAAAATTTTTTTAGTACGAAATTCAAATACAACATATTCTGAATTTATATACTTCTTTTGATTGAGTGTAGTAATTTTGTTACATGCTCCTAGTAAAAAATATATTATACAAAAATAAAATTAAGTATATATATTTAGAAAACCTTTAAAATCAAAAAAGCAATGCAAAGACAAAATAAATAAATAAATAAAATAAAATTATATTTGTTTTAGTTTATAATTTAATTAATTTATTAATAAATAGATTTATAAAAAAATAAATATAAAAAAAAAAGAATATTTAAAGAAAATATAAAATAAGATATAAAATAATAAAAAATAAAAAATATAAAATATAAAATACTAGAAATAATAGAAGTACAGAGTTTTAATATAGATCTAATAATAATATTAAAAAAAGATGCATAAAAAATAGTACATAAAGAGAAAAAAGAAATAGAATTTTATACTAATAGATTATTAGATAAGGAAGAAGAAAGAAGAAAAATGTGAGTTAAATAAGTAGAAATAGACAAAATAGAAAGTAGTATAATTAGTATAGAAAACTTAAAAGTTGTTAACTAGCTAATATTAATTAAAATAGAGTTAGTAGAAGTTTAAGTTGTATTATTATTAGTACAATATAATTTAATATTTAGAGTTCTTACAGATAGTAAAAAGTGATAAAGTATATAATAAAAGCTTGTAATACTGAATAATATAGTAAGTAGATAAGAATAGATAACAGAATAGTTCTAAAAAGATTATATTACTTATTAAGCAAAAAGATATAAAGTTAGAAATCAAAAAGGTTCAAAGTTATGCAA